TCTCCATGTCTCTTCTACATCAACATGTGTCCCCTCTTCTTCATGTCTCTTCTACATCAACATGTGTCCCCTCTTCTTCATGTCTCTTCTACATCAACATGTGTCCCCTCTTCTTCATGTCTCTTCTACATCAACATGTGTCCCCTCTTCTTCATGTCTCTTCTACATCAACATGTGTCCCCTCTTCTTCATGTCTCTTCTACATCAACATGTGTCCCCTCTTCTTCATGTCTCTTCTACATCAACATGTGTCCCCTCTTCTTCATGTCTCTTCTACATCAACATGTGTCCCCTCTTCTTCATGNNNTATTTACTGTTGATCGGTTATATTTGAACGTTTTCTTCCACTTCTCATGTGAAATTGCGCAGTTATGGGTTATCTTTAGAGGCTGACCCTGAAGGCAGCATCTCCCTGAAACAATAGGATTTCTCCATGTGATTTTGGATTATTGCAGAAAATAATCTCTGTGTGAAACAAACGTTTATGATACTTACACATTTAGTTCAGCAGGATAATCTCCACATAATAACACAACTTTATGATTTCTGAAGTAAAAAGCTAATGTTGGTCACATGACTTCACGTCACCACCGCTAAGCTAAAGGAAGCTAATGTTGGGCTATAAAGGAACTACAGCACGGTCACATGACTTCACGTCACCACCGCTAAGCTAAAGGTGGCTAATGTTGGGCTATAAAGGAACTACAGCACCGTCACATGACTTCACGTCACCACCGCTAAGCTAAAGGAGGCTAATGTTGGGCTATAAAGGAACTACAGCACCGTCACATGACTTCACGTCACCACCGCTAAGCTAAAGGTGGCTAATGTTGGGCTATAAAGGAACTACAGCACGGTCACATGACTTCACGTCACCACCGCTAAGCTAAAGGTGGCTAATGTTGGGCTATAAATGAACTACATCACGGTCACATGACTTCACGTCACCACCGCTAAGCTAAAGGTGGCTAATGTTGGGCGTGAGGGCGTTTAGTCGCCTCATTTAGACACTTGTTAGCAACTGCCGTTACTAAATTCACCAGTGGGGTATTTATTGAAGTGTTTTATGTTGGAGAATAAAAATCTCTTCAGCTCGTGTTAACCACAGACCTTATTTCGGACTAACAAACAAAAACACTTTCAGAAAACCATTGACTTCCAGACCAGGGGACAGGAACCGTATATGCTGACTCATGCCCTTAGTACACTGCATGTTGTAAATGTGAACACCTGCACAGTGTGTACATTTAGACTGTAGTGTTGTCAGTAATCCCACATGGCTAAACTAGCGAGCAACGTTCTAGTTAGCAGTACCAAATAATTACAAACTGCTCAATTAATTGGATATTTGCTGCTTCCTTCATTCTTCCTTTCCTTTGTATTTAGTTTCTCCTTTTTATGGCTCCTCTGTCCTTTATGTACCTCCTTCCCTCTTCTCTTACATCTTTCTTAATTTATTTAGCTAAATGTTGATATATCCTCCCTTCCTGTAATCTGGTCCTCTTCCCGCTTCAGTGCAGAAACATTTTGAGTCCTCTGAAGTGTGGAAGCCATATTTGTCTTCCTCTCCTCGTTCCTCCCATTGCGGGGGGGCAGGGAGGCGTTACTGAACATCATTTCCTTCGAAATGACCCTAATTATACGGCCAGGAAATCTAAGATAATTAGCACTCAGTGTTTGAGATTTGGTCCTTAACTTCCCAAAGATGAGGTCAACCAAGTGCGTCAGATCCCCTGCAGACGAAACTCGGGGAAAAGTCACAATTATTTAAAATAGAGGACGGAGACGGACCTTTGCACTTTATCTGCCGAATCTAATATTACTTTCTGTCTGCAGTTTACGACCAGCAACATTAATTAGTCTGGAAGCTCAGTCCTCATAAGGGAAATTGTTCCTTTTACTTCAAGGCATGAGTCCTTTTTGAAAAGGTCCAGGAGATATTTTGTTTCTGTGTTTATTATTGCTTTTATTGTACCTTTTTAACATTTCAAGAAGTCTACATTTCCCAGAACACCTCACCATTATTGAGGCATCATCTTATTACATTTGAGATATGTTGCGTGCATTTCCTATTTGATAAAGTCAGGTTATATATCTCTTTGTATCACTCCATAAATCCGAAAATACTGCCATAAAAAGTCCTTTTCTGCATGTTCTTAGTCGTAAAGTGTGTATAAATGAGGGTGTGAATGATGTGTAAACAGCTTCAGAATATAGAAAGGCATGACAGTGGACAGTTTGGTGTAAGTGCTACTGAGGTACAGATTTCTGGACACCACTGGGGAGTATAGGGTACACATATTATGTATATTTTGAATGGTGGCTGAAAGTGAACGACCCAAAACACTTCCATTGGCTGCAGCTTCAAAAGAGTAAAGATTGGTAAACTGTAAGATATGCAAGTCTGGATTAAAGATGTAAACACACCAACATCTCTGCTCCCATTTTAAGATTTGCCATCGTTCAGCAAGACCAACACTCCTACCATGTCAGCAAATAACCCCCAATCATCAGAGCAACATAATACATACGTATAATGATAGGTATCATCTAAGTTGTATCATTTGGTATATGGTCGTTTGTCAGTACATTTCTAACATGGCCTCTCTAAGGAAATGAATGTGGAAACACTGGGAATTATGTGACAGTTAATATACCTTTTATATTTGTGATTTATTCATGTCAGGACACATCATCTCTTTGTGTTTACTCCGTCCCTGACTGATGTTTGAACAGAACAAGCTAGCTAATTAGTCTGACTAATCTGATTCATTAGAACCAATTAAGGGAGGCATCACAGCAAAAACCACAGCTGCAAACCCACAGAGAGTTTCCTCTAAAGTCCTGAGGATGCTGATTTCTGACTACCTGTGTGAGAGGAAAGCTTCCCCTCTTTGGAACGAGCCAATCAGAATGTGTCTCACTGTCGAACGATGAAGTCATCTGTGGCCTCGTGGGAGCAGAGAGATCAATGAAGCTCTGTTTTAATCCCTCCTTCTGTGTTTGCTCAAAACAGATTTATGAGACTTCAGAGAAGACGTCATTCTGCAGTTTGTTTTAGAAGCAGATTACAGTTATTGTTTTTGGGAGTGTGTGGGAGAGAAACACAGGGATTGTAGGCCTTTGCAGACTATTTACATCAGGGGGGGGAAACTTCCGGCCCGGAGATCATTTGATCCAGGTCGAGGTCATTTATAAACACACGCAAAAAATTTAAGAAATCTAGACCGCAAAACAATTAAACAAGCGAGTGCCTGTTTTTCCTGGCCAAGGTCAGGGTCCTTGAACACAACACGAGCCTAACGTGTCATCACGTGGTATATGTCTCGTCTGACAGGAGTGTAGTTCTAACGGAGAGCACCAGAACGCGGCTCCGGGCCGGGACTTCACAAATTGCAGTACCCATAATGAGCTGTACACATGCCGCAGTTTGTGCGTGGCTGTGTCTTTAGTTGAAATCCCAGTGGCGATCTGTTCATCTGTCATACTGATCATACAGTCAATAACTTTGTTGTTATTAGCATCTGGTTAGCTAGCTATGCTAACGAATATAAGAAGCTTTTTCTACAACCACTGAGGTAAAGGCAGATCTTTATATGATCATTATAGTTATAAAAAAAAAGAGAATAAAGTAAACGGGTATAAAATACTATATGACAGTAAAAAAAGTTGTTATTAATAAACAAGAAGTTTGAAAGGGGAGTGATTTGTAAAATATCCATAAAGAAAAAGAAAATCTGCTTACAGTTCTGTTTCATCTGGGTGTTGAGAGATGTATCCATAGATCTCCTCATGTTGCTCTCAAAGTGCACCAGATTGATGCTTTTAACTTCAATATTTCAAAAAAAATCTTCCCGGGGGCATGCATGCCCCCGGACCCCCCTAGAGGAGGTTAGGGTCCCCCCCCCCACTTAAATCATGTCCACTTGGATAGGAAACTAAATACATTTGCACACATCTTGTGTCCATATCTTTTTGTGTTGGTGGTCATGCCACACCGTGCACGTGCATGCATGCGTGAGTCATGGTGAGATCTCTGGATTCAGAGGTTTCTTTTTCTTTGCACAGAATGAAAGAAAGGCCAAATGAATGGGCTGTGATTTGAGTTTTTTTAAGCAGAGGTCAATAATTTGTACGGCCCTCGGAGGATGTTGAAGAAATTGAAATGGCCCTTGAGAGGAAAAAGGCTCCCCACCCCTGATTTACATGCACTAAAAACCTACAGAGCACACTACAGGAAAGGGAAAACCCCAACAAGGATAATAGTCCCTGTAACGAGACGCCGTTACTGGAGCTCTCGTTAACGTGTTTATGTAGTCATTGTACTGTGTGGGGTATATTGACGACAACTTCCCTGTTCCCCATTTGTGTTGTTGCTGATTGTGTGCAATTGGTGCCCTGTGTCGTCTCCTCCCCCCTCACCTGTGTCTAATTGCTCCCCCCCCACATGTGTCTTGTTGTGCTAATTAGTGTATAGGTATTTAGGCTCTGTTTTCCCTGTCTGTGTGGAGGCTGGTAGTGTGTGTGAGATCTTTGTGGCTGCAGGATGTGTTCACGGAGAACAGCAGGATTGAGGCTGTGAACTTTGTGCACATTATTTTAATAAATGCCCACNCCCCCCCCACTTAAATCATGTTCACATGGATAGGAAACTAAATACATTTGCACACATCTTGTGTCCATATCTTTCTGTTGTGGTGGTGATGCCACACCGTGCACGTGCATGCATGCGCGAGTCATGGGGAGATATCTGGATGAAGAGGTTGCTTTGTCTTTGCACAGCATGAAAGAAAGGCCAAATGAATGGGCTGTGATTTTAGTATTTTTAAGCAGAGGTCAATCATTTGTACGGCCCTCGGAGATGTTGAAAAAATTGAAATGGTCCTTGAGAGGAAAAAGGTTCCCCACCCCTGATCTAAAGTAACAGACAGAGAATCAGCACTTTGGAAACAGGGCTGAAACAGAGGGGATTATGGGTAATGCTGCAATGATCCGTTTGGTGTTTCAGACAATCAGAGACAGGCTCTGGATATATCTGAGACCTGTGATATATTGATGAAAAACAGTATGAGGAGGACTTATTGAATGATTTCCAGTACCTCTGTCTGCGTCCTCCAGGTTCTCTCTGATGTACTCCACAGCCTGGTTCACCTGCTCCTCGCTGCAGACATCCAGCTGGACCACCTTCATGCGATCAGAGTGAAACTCCTCCAGTTCCTTTGCACCCTCTCCTCCTTCGTCCTGCAGAGAAACAATGGTACCTCAGTGCAACCCTTTCATTCTTTGAGTACTCACTGAATGTTTTATTTTACATTTTATTTGTTACAACAACTGCGCTAGTGAAGATGGCTCCTCTCCAACTTTGCATTTTTACCTATTTTTTTTGTGTTTATTTACTTTTTGCCGTTTGCTTTTAACAAGCAAGCCGACCGCACCAACTCTGCTATGCAATACATCAGAGAGGAACTTCTTCACATCAGAAACTTTGTGGACAACAGCCCACCGACAGACAATGGAGAACCACGCTATCTGTAGCGTGGTTCTCCAAGCGAGTCAGTGAGTTCAAAAACCTTGAATCTTGTACCTTAAGCAAACATCCAGCATATACTGTGAAGCCAAGCTTGTGCAGGTGTTTTGAAAGAGCATGACCGAATCCACTATCACAGCCTGTGACAAACACAGCTCTCCCCTTCACCTGCAGAGAGGGAAACAAAAATAAAAAGGCTTATGTTATTTTCCCTACAAGAGGAAAGATATTCAAAAGGACACAATGAACACTGAAGTTAAATTGGTATCAAAGGTAAATCATGTAATAAAAATAAACTACTCACGAGGAAACAATTTCTATGCTCTGAACTGTATTACTGTGACATGTTTTAGGCATATCATATTGTAATTTTGAATTGATCTGAAAAAAATACATACTGGAAAATGTGTGTGAGAATGGGTATAATCTCGAAAACACGTGTGTATGGTGTGCAAACGAGGAAACATTACCTTGTACACAAGCAGTCATACAGTAATGCTCCAACCCAGTGGAAGTTTTACACAGACATATATAGGATTCTAAAATTACGCACCCTCATTTTCTTACATTAACTAACACACGACATCATATATTTTTCGCTCTGAATGCCATACTCGTCATACTTGTATATGTTTTTAGATATCAGAAGATTATCATCTCATGACGCCTTTAGGAGTAATTAAAGGTTGGGAAAGGTAAGTTTGAGAAACCAGCTCGAGATACACTTTTTGTTGTGTGTGTTGAAGGAGGGGCTGTGGCAGATTTTCTCCGGTCGTGTATTTTTAAATTCTAGCGATCTCGAGACGGTTTGCCGGTAAAATGGAAGAAAGTCACATAAAGAAAAAAATAAGTAACATTTTGTCTTTTTAGCCTAAATACATTAATACATGTATAACGTTAATACATTTTCCAAAGTACTTCCATGGGTTAAGAGAGAATCTGTGTCAGAACATGTTTGGTATGCACGCCGTAGGGGTTTAATATGTGTATAAAAACAAAGCCCATTCCCAAAACCTCCTAGAGTAAAACATATCACCTGAGCAAAGCCATCACTTTTAATGTTTTTATTTATTCCAGATGAGATTTAACCCAATTGTTTCACCTTAAAAAGGTGTTTTTAACAGATGTAATTTTTTAACATATGAGGGGACGCATGTTTATAAAATACATGAAGAAGTGGTGTTTGCATAATAGGTCTCCCTTACTTGTGTGCAGACCCGGGGGGCCTCATGACACAATTTCGCAGCTCTGATAACACACAATATATTATTTTTTTATATTATATTTCAACATACCAGGACTACTTTCTTTAAGTATTTCGACATACTATTCTATGACTTTAAAAAAGGTTTTGACATAGCCTACCATGACATCTGACATCATTAAACCTGTGTGAGCATTATTGTTTTGAATCACAAGCATTCATTTTCTTGTTGGGAATACAACTGTATACATCACCTCCACCAATCCTCTTGGAATCCGAGGCGTCGCCATGAACAACACAAAAAGTAAATAGAGCCCCACGATGCACTCGGTCACGCTGCTCTCCGGAAGTCCCAGCACCCGGGTCCCGGTGTTCAGCAGAGCCGGCAGCCCGAAGCCCAGCAGTACCGTCAGGAGCACGGAGAACGAGACCAGGAGAACCGCTCTGAGCACAGGGAGAGGAGCCATCGTTCCACAGTGGGGTTTAATTAATGCTTTCTGGGGAAGCAGTCCAGTCCATGTATGCATACAGACCACGCCCCCTGTGTGACGTCACCCGGTGGTGTATTTACATTCCCGGAAAATGTGTTTGGAAAAAAAGTTTAAAAGCATGGAAGAAAATGCCTAACGCTGCACAAAAAGGAAACTTGCTTAAGATAGGTTAAGCTGTGTGCAAGAAAGACGATTAGGGAAATGCTTCATATTGCTAAATAAGCCGTGTGATGTAATAGTATACATTCCAGACTTGCAAGCACAATGGGATTTGATGGGATTTAGAGCCAAACAGGAAGTGCGCAGCATGGAGACATCACTGAGGAACTATCTGAGTCATAACCAAGGGTGTAACTTTGGTTTGAGAAGTGGGGGGGACACAAAACAGGGGGTCCTCCGCAATGAAACATTGTTCTCGATTTAATTCCATTTCCTGCCTTTCTACAAATATATATTAGGGACTATGGTGTTAACTAATCCAAGAAAAATGTGTAGTGTGTATAATGAGTGTGCAAATGTATCTATCCATGAACCTGTTTTATTTGTGATGACCTCACATCCTATAGGGGGGTCCGGGGGCATGCACCCCCGGTAAGATTTGTTTCTTTAAATTGAAGTTAAAGGCATCAATCTGGTGCACAAATTAAGAGATTTATGGATACAGCTCTCTCAACACTCATATGAAACAGAACTGTATATATTTAATTACTCCAAAAACCATTAGAATATGCTCACAACCAATAACACATCATTGATATACTCCTCTCTCCTATCTTTATCTTACCTAGTCTGCATTCTTTCTTTTTATTTATGCATATTTTACTAATCACTTCCCTTTCAAATTTTGTTTTTAAATTTTTACTGACATTGGAATTAGTTTTTAACTTATTTTGAACAACTATATTAAATAGATGGAAATATTTGTTTAGACCAAACCGTTTGAGACCCACTGAGATAACTTAGACTAAAGTTTACAATATAATCGCTCAGCGAGTCCTTTACCTCCCTGAGCTGATGTCATCTCAGCCCGACAGGAGAGGACTCTCCCTCTCCTTATTGTTGAAACAGTTTCTAATCTAATCTCCGAGCTAGCACCAGATGCTAACAACAACCCCTGTAACTCTCTCTCTCTCTGTCTCTCCCTGTCTCTCTCTCTTTTTAAATTTTTACTGACATTGGAATTACTTTTTAACTTATTTTGAACAACTATATTAAATAGATGGAAATATTTGTTTTGACCAAACCGTTTGAGACCCACTGAGATAACTAAAGTTTACAATCACTCAGCGAGTCCTTTACCTCCCTGAGCTGATGTCATCTCAGCCTCTCAGTCCGACAGGAGAGGACTCTCCCTCTCCTTATTGTTGAAACAGTTTCTAATCTAATCTCCGAGCTAGCACCAGATGCTAACAACAACCCCTGTAACTCTCTCTCTCTCCCTGTCTCTCTCTCTCACACAAAATGCGCTCCTGCCACACACACACACACACGCTCCTCCGTGACGATGACCACTTGCGTAAATTATTATTATTATTTTTTAATTTGAAAGTGGGGGGGACACAAACGGGATTTTGAAAAGTGGGGGGGACATGTCCCCCCTGTCCCCAGTGGAAATTACGCCCATGGACTCATAACCATAACCATATGTCATAACACTGTGCAATAATTTGTCTGATCTGACTAAGATAATGTGATTTAATATAGCAGTTCCATACTCCCTGTTATGTTAAGTAAGTGTGTTTGTGTATTCATCATTTAAAAGCACATCTACAAATGATTTTATGCATTAATTATGTTCCCTCCTGTATGCTGCAGAATAGCAGCCTTTTGGCTTCCTTTGCTAAATAAAATCATACATATTTTTAACGTGAACTCTGACAGAAGAAGCTATACTGGCTTTGTTTTGAAAATATATGCAATGCCGTTCAAATTTGCATAAAGAGTCACGTGGAAACAGTTGTTTCCGGGATGTGGTGAACCACAGCTGGCAGTTGTGTATGCCTGTTTCTATAGTAACGTTAAATGACTCTGCATCGCCCCCTATCGAGATTATCTTGCACTGCAGCTAATACAAGCATCTCTATATGCTTACCAATTATCAAAATGTGATTAAGTGGGCACAAACACCTTTTCTAGTCTAATCTTTCCTCTGAATCAGCCTCTGCCTGCAGCTCATTGAATAGTTTCTGTATCCTGGAGAACACATTGCCCAAATAAAGTATAAAACAGGTATAATCTCTCAGATATACTTATGTTTTGAGGCCTATACTCTACAGATAAAAAGGTGTAATGGCAGTGCAATACGAGTGTAATATGTGTGTAGCATAGATCTAACATGGGTGTAAATATGTGAGTAACATTCATGTAATGTCAATATGGTGGTACAATGTGTGTACCATTGGTGTAACATGGGTGTAATAGGTTCAATACAAATGTTGACACTAAATGGACGACATACCATTCCAGTAAGATGGGAGAAAGTCGAAGTAAAAAAAACATTGTCTTTTTAGCCTAAATACATTAATACATGTATTAAGGCTGAAAAGACAATGTTATTTATTTTTATTAAATGTTAATACATTAATACATTTTCCAAAGTACTTCCATGCACTTGCCTGTTTGAGGGTTAAGAGAGAATCTGTGTTGGAACATGTTTGGTATGCACACCGTAGGAGTTTAAGATGTGTCTAAAAACCAAGCCCATTCCCTAACAAAAGACTCTCTGCTGTGGATCCAGTTCCCCCAAAACCTCCACGAGTAAAACATATCACCTGAGCAAAGCCATAACTTTTAATGTTTTTATTTATTGCAGATGAGATTTCAAACGGTACAACCAACATCCTGGTCAAGTAAAACACAGGGAAGTTAAAAAAAAAAACATTATGTCCTACAGAAAAGCTGAAAGTCAAGAAAAGATGAGATGACGGCATTAGAGCAAAACACAAGGCACTGAGGATCTAGTCTACGGCTAAACCAGCGTCCTGTGGCCTTCAGACGTGCTGTAAACATATCTTTGTGTTTCTATGTCAAACATAGGCTGGCTGTCTCCATGTTAAAACATGAGAAATAAATGGGAGAGAAGGAGAAATTAATGCTCTGGAGATTAATAGGAGTCTGCGTGGTGTAAAAAAAGAAAGAAAATCATTAACTGCTGAGATACAAAACGCCGAGTTCAACTAGTGTTAACATATCCTAAAACAGCATTGACATGAGAACACATTTAGCTAAATGTACATTGCTATTACCTTCAAATGGATGTTTAGCTGTAGGTCCTTCCTCCTTCTCTCCACAGTGTAACAGCACAGATACATGTCGCAGGGTAATGGACAATAAAGAATATTCCCCCCCCCGGTAGTAGTAATGCTGGTGGAGCGAGAGACTCATTCAGGTCGACAAACAGCTATGAATTACAGATGCAAGGTCTTTTACATTATTATTTTTTTGTTTTTTTATCACCTGTGCTGACAGTAAACTGCAAGTGCTCTTTACAGATCTCAATTCTTTATTTAAGAAAAGAATCAAGCTTTTTCTTGATATTGTCAAATGAGTCCATTCCCAAGTAGTCTGCCTGGCCTTGCTCCCATTTCTGCTTCCGCTCTTCTGAGGAAAGTTCCGGTGGGATTGCTTGATCAAATGCAGGGCAAGTCCCATCCTGAGAAAGAAACAAACATATTAGACAATCGTGAAACCAAGAGCATGAAATGTTATCGTGCACAGAACACCACCTTAGCAGCTTTTGAAAAGCACTTCTACATTAATGGCCAAAGCCAAAACACACACGAAGCTGGGGTTTTAGAGGAGGAATGGTAAAAGCATTACAACCAGGAGCCATAACTGTTATCGGCTGCTAGCCCATAAGAAGAAACCCATCAGTAGCACCGTACCTGCACACTCTCAACAGTGATCATGTCACAGGGCGGGGGCTATATGAGATGAATATGAAGGAAGACGAATACCATCCAGAACAAAAAATACAAAAGTTAACATTAAACCGGGGGAAATAACACACAGTATGTGACACAAAACACAGGAACAAATATAGTATCACTTTTTTCTTTAAGCAAGCAACACATGTTTCCAATAGAGCTGGATAAACAGGAAACCATGGTGTGCGTGTAGAAGGGCTGAACTGTTAGATTTTGATACCCAACACTTTGGAAATCCACAATCCCTTTGGTTTTCTGGTTCTTATTAGCGTGTGCTTGGTTTAACAACACATAACAGATCTATTCATTTCCTGCAAGCTAGCCATATGGACACTTTACCTCAGCCACAACGCAGACATCTTTCCCTCAATTGTAAAAACCTTAAAACAATGCTTCACAATTAAAAAGGAACATTGAAACCAAGTGGAAAGCTGTTCCAGGAATACATCTAAAGCTTATAAGAATTTTGAGAACAAGTTTCAGATCAAGGTCATTACATGAATGCACACAATGTCTGGTTTGCGTACTGCACATATTTGATATGTTACTGCATTCTATTTCAATGTAAATTACTGCTTTATTTTATTTACTTATTTTTTGTGATGTTATTATAGTGTTCTTAATATAGTTCCCATCTGTGTTTTTTTATTTGTTTAACTTTTATGTATGCACTACGACACCAAGTCAAATTCCTCGTACGTGTCAACCAACCTGGTGATAAACCTGATTCTGATTACACGACAAACTCAAATTCTTTCCCAGTATATGTGTCTAATATCTAATCAGAACATGTCTCTACACCCGATATCAGAACATGTCTCTACACCTGATGTCAGAACATGTCTCTACACCTGATATCAGAACATGTCTCTACACCCGATATCGGAACATGTCTCTACACCCGATACCGGAACATGTCTCTACACCCGATATCGGAACATGTCTCTACACCCGATATCGGAACATGTCTCTACACCCGATATCGGAACATGTCTCTACACCCGATATCAGAACATGTCTCTACACCCGATATCAGAACATGTCTCTACACCCG